TTTTTTTGTAATCGTTAAAATGATTTACTTTACGCAACCAGTGCATAATGTTGAACATTATGAAACTAATTACGAAAAAATAATTATATCACTAGTTGCGAAAAGAAAAATAACCATTTTGGTTTTAAAATAATATATACATTATTATTGAAAGTTTATATTAAAGATGGGCAATGTCACTAGTTGCGAAAAGAAAAATAAACCTCTTTGGTTTTAAAATCAATATATACATTATTATTAAAAGTTTATATCAAACATGGGCAGGTTGACTTATAAAAATAGAATTTGGTTAAACTTACAACCCAGTATTAATGTTATTTTAGTCCTTATTTTCCGTTCTAAATTAAAACACAATTCCCGACAAAATAACCCACTTTCTTGAAATCTAAATAACTTTAACAAGCAATATAAACACACTTTAATAAGACGTGGAGAATAAACGAATATGATTTTCTATTTGTGCAACTAACAATGCAAGAAAGTAATATTGGTTGCCTAGATGTCAGTATTTTTTTAGCAAAACACAATTTTATAAATAATCTAGTCAAAATTAGAAAAAATATTGCATGTAACACATTACGAAATGCCGTTTTATGTAACTCATTCATGTTGTGGGACCTCGCTCTGCTCGTTCTGCAAATATTCACTCGTTACATAAAATAAGGCATTTCGTAACTGGTTTCATAAATAGCTATTATACGTCAATGTATCGCGTTCACTTCAGTTAGCTCCGTGGCAAAACTGTCAAATCCTGTGTATAATTAATGATAATAAATAATATTTTTTATTTATTTACATCAATGATTACAATTCACAACATAAAATTAACTTTTTAATTGAGTCATTAGTACAACCAAAGAAACAAATCTCACAAAGCCAATGCTGTTCCTTACACATTAAGTGCATCTTTCTAACATCTTTATACAGTGTGTCCACTTAAGTTGGCAGCATATAAAAAAAAAATATTAACTTTACGAAAAAAAAAAAGATATTCTTCATAAAAATAATATGAATTTTGGTGGAGAATAAAGTACCTTCATTTTTGACAAACCTCGTATATGATTGATAAAATATGGTATCAGTTGATTGGGTTTTAGGTAATCAAGAACTTTTTATGAATAATTTTTTTCCCTAAAATTAATATTAAAAAATGTATTCTTCATAAAAAATTGTGCATGGTCTAAAATCTAAACTACAACCATCAGATATCAAATTTTATGAGTCATATAAGAGGTATGTCAAAGATAAACATACTTTACTCTCCAGCAAAATTCATATTATTTGACATATCTCGTATACTATTGTAATTTTAGGTTTCGGAACATGCAGAACTTTTTAAAAAGAATAACTTTTTCTTGTAAAGTTAATAATAAAAAAGTTTCCCATATGCTGTGAACATCTTTCCTTGGTATAGTTAATTAACAGGATTTAAATTGTTTCTTAAAATAAAATAGACAATAAGAAAGTTTCTTTGGTAAGAAATTTATAAATCCCAAAAACAAAAGACCTTTATGAGCTACTAGCTGTTTTTAGTACAAAAAAATTCATGACTGCCTAAAAAAAGACCGCGATAATATGTTATTTTACTGTTCACGGTATGTTTTTGATAGTATCATAGATTAATGTTAATTAGACTATTCTAATGTTTAAATATATTAATCTAATTGATAATCTTATTTTATACCACATTTCTGGTACGGCTCTCATCTGCTAATATCACCAGATTGCACGCAGTACTTATTTTTATTTATTTATTTTTAATTATTTTTATTTATTTTTATTTTTCCCTTTCCTTAAAATGTGAAAATCCAAAAACCATGAAACAAATCATTATTTATTTTTGATCAGTAGCAGTATTTCAAATTTTCATGTTTTTAACTTTAAGGAACAAAAAAAAAATATACGTATTTTCAAACAAATTTTCACCCCCCGTTTCCCCCCTTAAAATGTGAAAATGCAAAAAAACCCTAAAAGACTTCATTATTTATTTATGATGAGAACCTACAATTCCAATTTTCAAGTTCCCACCTTTAAAAAAAATCGATACTTTCATCCCTGGTTCCCTCCCCCCTTAAAATGTAAAAATCCAAAAACCCTGAAACACGTAATTATTAATTTGTACTCACTAGCTGCAATTCCAAGTTTCATGTTTTTAACTTCAAAAAAATCGATAGTCCCTTACAAACTTTCACCCCCCGTTTTCCCCTCTTAAAATGTGAAAATCCAAAAACCCTGAAACACGTCTTTATTTATGTTTAGTAGCTGTAATTTAAATTTTCATGTTTCTAACTTTAAAGAACAAAGAGTTTCATTAAAAGCTTCCTCCCCCCTTTAAAGTTAAAATTTCCAAAAATCCTTTCTTAGCGGATGCTTACGTTATAAAATGTTCCAAATTTCAGCTTTAGTAGTTTTGGCTGTACGTTGATAGGTAAGTTAGTCAGGACAAACAATTTTATATACGGTGAGCACCATAAGTCTTACCCCCCCCTATCTAACTCGTTACTGGAGTCTTGCTAGGAAAATCGCTGAGACACGTCGATTTTTGATTTCTACAATGTACATTTTTGTATGAATAGTTTACCCTTAATTTCATCCCTTACTGGAGGGGAGCACCCCTTTCTAAAAATTTAAATGGCATGGGGTGGTGAGTGATAGCTTATTTGAAAGAGGGTTTTATTCTCTATTTAACCGTGTAAAAATTTTTGAAATTTGCTTCATTAATTCTCGACTAATTGTTGTTTCAGAATAACGGAAATTAACGTAGCGCACTCATCCTTAGAATTAAAATTCGGCCCTGCATGATTTCGGTTTTGGTTCAGACGTGAAGTAAGACTTTTTGCCATTAGAAGGTCACTGTTTAGTTGCTTTCCTATTTTGTGAGGATTTGTTATTTTTAAACATTAATAAATCAACACGTAATGAAGCAAATTTCAAAATTTTTTGCATGGTTGAATAGAGAATAAAACCCCCTTTCAAATGAGCTATCACTCGCCACCCCATGCCATTTAAATTTTTCGAAAGGGTTGCTCCCCTCCAGTAAGGGATGAAATTAAGGGTAAACTAATCATACAAAAATGTACACTGTAGAAATCAAAAATCGACCTGTCTCGGCGATGTTCCTAACTAGATTCCAGTAACGAGTTAGTTAGGGGGGGTAAGACTTATGATGCTCACTGTAATAGATAGATTGTATTTTTGACAATAGCACTGATTTTTCAGAATCCTTACTTCTAGTTTCATGACAATGACATATTATGTGTATATTTTTCTTTAGGTAATAAACATACATACTTGTGTTTTACTTTTCTAAACCATAATTTTTAATAACTTTTAGAATACTCCTAGCTTTATTAGATGAATATAGCTCCTCCCCATTCTACAATTCCTTAGGAGAGGCGAGAATTATCCAATGCATAATACACTATTTTTTATTAAAAATTTAATTTTACCTAGTAAGGGTTTTTGTAACGAAGATAGTTTTCAATAATTCCTAAACACTTTTTACTTAACATGATTATTGATTTCTAGCTTGTTGTAATTAGGAAGTTTATTTTTATAGCTTGTTATAAGTAGGTACATAGTTTTCGAAGTTTGTAAGCAATTTGTAATTAAACCAATCTATAATATTACTTAAATATTTTTCAATTCTTTGTTTCAGATCATTCCAGGTATTTGCAGTACAAAAGATGACTATCATCAGCAAAGCTTGTTATTTCTCCAGAAGTTGTAAGCGTAAGTAGATTATTAATGTATATTGCAAATAGAATGGGACCAAGAACTGTCCCTTGTGGAACGCCAAATTGAATAATCCTTTCCGAGCTTATATTTTCAATATATGAAGTAAGAGAACTGCGAAAGTACTGTCTGCCTTCTACACATTTTTTTTCAATTAGAGGCTTAGTTTAAAAGCGTTTTTCCGTGAAATACCGAACATTTCACAGTGTTTGACCTTCCATAGGGCCGTTATTGTAGTTTGTATGTAGATAATCGTAAGCTGAACAATTTTTGTTTAAAACTTTTTTTGGAAAAAATGCGTATTTCCCGAAAAAAAAATGCTATTTTACAGTGTAATTTATTTTCAACCATAATGAAGCAATCAATTTCGTTTTCCGGATCATGATATTCGTAATCTACGCAAAAAATACACCTGCTCGACTTTACCGCTTTTTTAATAGCGTCTAATAAAGAACATTTCGTTGAAATAATATAGCGAATAATTTAGTTAAATCAAAGACATTAAGAATTTCGTTATACATAATATAAATGTACGATTAATAACAACACAAACCCATTGGGATCCATGTGAAAAGCGACACAACAGGCTGGACTTCAAAAAAACCCAGACCAAAACCAGTAACCTACAACCAGTGAACCATAAACCAAAATGAAAAAAGTTTTGGATAAATGTCAGCAATTTTTTTTACCAATGATAGTATTTAAAAAAGAAAGTGTTCTATAGTTGAATCCGGAATTAATAGGTAGTAATAAAATGTGCGAAGAACAATCTCATCTGTCATTGTGCCAAAGTTTGGTTGAGATTTCAGAGGTTACGATACAAGAGAATTTTTTTCATTTGTAGGTATACAGTATGTTAAGTTTCATATAATTACGCCAGAAGAACGGTATAGAATAAGCGATGCCATTGATTAGACAGAGGTAAAACAGTGAGCGCCTGCCCACTGTGGTAGAGGTGTACCCACCTGTCCAATCACGACAGGCGGGCAGCCGATTTTCGAGAATATTTCTTTATTTCGCTCAAGTGCAAATATTATAAAGCGTCTCATCTTTATTTCGAAGGATCCATGGGTTGACATAGTATATATCTTCAACAATTCCTAATAATTTTTTATTACTGTCTATTCTATCCAGATTCAACTATACCTGGCTAGAATTATTTTGGAATGAAATTTCTAAAATTGCAATAAACGATCACATTAGAGACATTTTGCGGACATTAATCGTTGACTTTTATGTAAAAAAGCCGGGCGAGCCGGACTTACCTTATTCGTGGACGACGATGTGTGATAATTGCGAGACCTGGGAGTCTTCTCGTCCAAGATGGGCTTGACTGGGGTTTTGGTCGTTTGGCCTGTGGAACCGATAGTGGGGTCGGCGTTCTTAGTCACCTCCAGACTTTCCGGCACGGTCTGAAGGGTGGAGCGCATAGCTGCCGACATCGTCCCCACTCACACTATCGCGGTGGCCACTTCACATTACCTGAAACAACAAAACAAATGTTAAACATATATAACTCACATAATTACTGTAAATAACAATCATTTTCTTTGAAATTCTATCAATTTAGGAAGGTTACATTAACTTTTGTTCTCCGCATTGTTCAAAACTTAATAGATTTGGTACTAAACGGAACGCGACTTGTCCACTCAGCGGAACCCAGCTGTCAAAGGCTGTTCATCAGACAGTCGAGACTTGTGCGTTACCTTTGAACATTGTAAATTGTTGTAGTTGCTTTTGTAATTTAATTTAGTGGTAACAATTGGCGCCCAACGCCGTGAGGCGACGAAAATAAAAACTAATACAAGGAAAATAAAGAACTGCTACAAATAATATAACCTATAAATACAACTAATATTTTTAGAAACAAATCCTGCAAGTCAGACAAAACATGACCGAATCAAAATAAAAATGAAACTGAACTTCTCAACCAAGAAAAGGTTCAAAATACTAAATACAAAGTCTGCAAATAAAACTAATACCAACATATATGCAAAGTATACCAAATATCTATACAAAGACTAAAGTCGTTAGGGCGAAATCAGATCGTAACATGTTTTACATAAAATATATAGTGCTACTCAAAAGTCCGTCTAGTGACTCAGATGCACTACATACCTTCCTTCTTAACTCCCCGCGACACATGCGTCATATACACTATTACCTTTAGATATTTAGATAGACATTGTCATTATATTTTATTTTCCACAGCGGATGGCTTCTTGGCGTCTCTTGGGATTCTAACCAATCGCCTGTAAGGATACGTCCACATTATTCTATTGGCAATTTGTCTTATGACATTTCTATAACTGCGGCTTAGATTTTAATTCAAATATTTTTTGTTTTGTATTTTAATTTAAATATATTTTGTTCTTCAACAATTATAGATAAGCATTCAAGTACCATTTCGAATAGTAACTTCAAAATGTGATCCAAATGTGTCAACGGAAACTGCCCTATGTTATTCAACAATTAGTTGTTTTAAAACGTCAATTCTGTTAGGACCTCTATTTGTGTGAGATCCGTAACTTAGACAGACTTTTTACTAAAATTACTACAACAGGGAACAGTTATACTTAGTAAATTTTGGTTTGCTTATGAAAATCGATAAGGAGGTAATTAATAATTTTGTTGTCCTGATTTAACCAATAAGGCATACATAAGGGATATTTAAGGGTGATTAAAATTTCAAGTAAATCAGTGAATTATACAGACTTTCTGTCTTAACTTTAGGATTGTTACAGTTGAAAAATATATGAGGCCTGCTTTCACATTATCACAATTGCTGAGTTGACAATAATTAATTTAACCAAATGGTAGGGACATCTTCCGAATAATGATTCCTGAAGGTGAATTATTTAATTATTTCAATTCAGTGAACAAATGTTTGAAAACCTAAAGAGCAAAATGCAAACTCTTATCATTTTAATGTGTAAAATCTCAATATTCATAAGAAGCGTATAATCGAAAAATAATTTAAACAGCAGTTATGAACCAAACGGTATTCTATAGCCATACATTCGTATCTTGTTATTTATTATTAAAAGCGAGTAGACACACGCCAATTCACACACACTCACGCACACCGTGGCATATCTAATTTATCAAAGGTTCGTTCGTTGTTCGATCTGAACAACACTGACACAGACAACTCTCAAATCGGCTTCCGAACGCCGGGGGTCAGTATCAAGTTTTTTTAAGCCAAATAAATTTGGAAGGCTCGTAGGCCACTTCATAGATCATTTTTACAAAACGTAACAATTCACCAGAAACTGAAAATCTGTAATCCTGTATTTGGAGAATAACATTTCTAGATTATATTTAATAAAATACTAATATTAATTAATCTCCAGGGATTAAAAATTTACTTTATCACTTAATATCACTTTTACTCACTAGGAATTTTTTATCCCTTGACGAATTGTGGCGGCTTTTTCACTTGCTGGCACGCGTCACGCCAAAGTACGAAAATGCCACGCTTTTTACCTAAATGCCACGCATTTCACTCAAATGCCACGCTTTTTAAATCCAAAGTAACATATAGAAAAAAAAAAACTACGAAGAAATTTTGGAGCAAATGAGGAGAATACGAAATTTTGAGCAATAAAAAAAGCTTGGATTTATCTGTATTGTGTCAATCGTCTTGTTATTTCCGATAAAATCAATAATTATCTAAAAACCCAAGATGTCTTTAAGGGTGCTGATATCTCTATAAAGGAGCCCCCAACAAATGAAACCTAAAATAAGTGCTTCATGTTAGGTATAGATTTTGACTTCAAAGATGAAATCTATAAGCCTTCCACTTGGGCTAAATCTGTTGCGCATAAAAGGTTCGACTTTAGGAAATACAATCAATATGACAAGACGGAATGAGGATTTTTAAGAAATCCCCACCTACCTCAGATCGCAAGAAAAAAACCAATGAGAGAGAAAATTAATCGTATGACAACGAGACTCATTCAAAAAGCAAACAAGACCACAAAAATACCTCAATCGGACCAGTTGCCAAATTAAAAGTTATGCACTTAAATATTCAAGGTGTCTCCAACAAAGGGCCACAGATAGAAGTCCTACTGAACTTAAACCCGGCTGATGTCGTCTGTTTCTCAGAACACTGGCTTACAAGCGATGAATTGAAACACATGAGTTTGAATGGTTACACTCGTAAATTCAATCTGCAGAAAATAATCTGTACGGGGAGGGGTATGTATGTTAGCCAAAAATGAAATTTTCTTTAAACCACTCAAGTATAACGATTGTTTAGAAAAAAAATTTGAAGTAACACTAGCTTCTCTTGATTTGACGAAGGATAGGTTACTATATATCATCACAGTCTACAGAACACCTAATACAAATACTGATATTTTTATCGATAAAATGTATGATCTGATGTGTAGAATTTACAAAACTAATTGTTACTACATTTTATGTGGAGATTTAAACGTTAACTTCTTACTAAACAATACAGAATCAAAAAAAAATAGTAAACATGTTTAAAGAATTTGACATGCACAATTACATTGACAAACCTATACGTATAAATAACAGCATTGATGCTATATTCTCAAATATAACTGCTGTCTCTACTGTTGTGAGCGAAACACATCTATCAGATCATACATTTCAAATGTGCGAGTTCAAAATAGATATTGCAAAAGCAAGCACCAAACAGATGTATGGACGGGTTTATTCTGATGCAAACTTGAATACATTCAGAGATCTGCTACTGCACGAATCTTGTGAAAAAATTTACAATCCAATCACTGATATTAACAATGCTTTTAATCAGTTCTATTCTATTTTTAATTTTCACTATTTAAATGCTTTTCCACTGGTAAAAATAAACACTAAAACAAAAACAAAGCCGTGGATTATCAACGAAATTAAAGCTTTGTGATTTATCTAAATTAGCAAACTCAACAAACAATGAAATTATTAAAAATAGATATAAAGACTTAAAAATAATATATATAAATACAGTAAAGAATCAAAAATTAGAATATAACAATAGTATCAAAAACTCTAAAAGTGTCAGTATAGAAAGCTGGAAAATTATCAATGAAACAAGAAATAATACTAATAATAATAGAAACCATACTCCAAAAATTTTAATTGATAAAAAAGTTGTCACTGACAAAAATATATTATGTAATCACTTTAATGATTTTTTTTCTGGATAATAAAGTACAGAAACCAGTCACACATGTGTTGAATCTATATCCTCATTCAATTTTCTCTTTCTTTCTTTCTTACTCCAACCACACCTTATGAGATAGAGGAAATCATATCTAAAACAACTAAAAAACAACACCAGGGAATGATAGAGTTCATGGGAAAGCTCTAAAAGCAGTAAGTGACATTATACCATATTCACTTTCACACATAATTAATAAGTCTTTTTGTATGGGCATCTATCCGAATGTACTGAAAATATCAAAGTCAATACCCATATTTAAGAATAAAGGGTCCGTAAACGAGGTTAGCAACTACAGAAATATTAGTCTACAGTCGCAATTTGCTAAAATCATTGACTATAGCTACAATATGAGATTAACCAACTTTTTAGAACAGAAGGGACTAATACCCAACTGGCAACATGGCTTTAGACAAAAAAGATCAACAGAAACTGCAATAAGTAAACTCTGCAATGTCTATAATCACCTAAATGATAAAAAAATATCCACTAGCTCTTTATTTCGATCTTAGTAGAGCATTTGACACTTTAGATCATGATCTCTTAGAAAAGCTGTATTGCATAGGCGTTCGAGGTGTCACGAATGACTGGGCTTTATCCTATCTGCGGGGAAGATCTGATTGTAGCTATAGAAGATGCTAAATCCGCTCTCGGGCTAATAACAGAAGGAGTTCCCCAGGGCTCAGTTTTACCCCCACTATTTTTCATCTTGTTTATGAGCGACTTAGAATACTCATGTCCAACATCTAGAGTAACTACCGTTGGTTATGCTGATGACACTAATCAACTTATTGCTGAAATCAATCTTTGAAGAGGTGATTTTTATTTTTTTGAGAATCCCCCCAGAAAAATGACATATTTTATTAACGTGATCTCCAGTCGTCACCGTTGTCCCGCTTTTCCCTTTCGTAAATCTGGCAACCCTATCTACAACAAATTCCATACGTATGATCAAAAATAATTATAATAAAGAGTTACAGTTCATCTTCATTTTAAAAGTGGTTTTGGTATGCTTAATAGTTACTTAATACAGATAATATAATCTCTTTTATTCTAAACTTTATTTCCTTAAAAATTATTCCATCACTAGTCAGGCTTGCCAGCCTCATAACCATAACTCACCACTAGTTTGGTCAAATAACTAGGTAATAATTTTGTTATGCATGTTATAAAATCTTCGATGTGTGTAAAAGTTGCATATGATATAAATGGGATTTAAAATGAAATCAAAAATCATATTCATGCTCGTGAAATAATTAATATCACACATCTTTACATATTTACCACA